TGCCTCAGGTAGATCTCTTATGTCTCTCAGTCTTCTCTGGGTGCCCTTATGTAGTGGGTGTCCTGCATGGCCCAGTGATGCAGTTTCCCTGATCACCTGTACCATGTGCTCCAGGAGTGTCCCTTGTGTGGTGTGTTTGTGTATTCTCCTCTTGTTGTTGAGTCTTGATTGCTTTTGGCACATCAGTGGGTGGGATTGACTCTTAGGCTGACTGGCTGTAAAGATTTGCCATGCCCACAACATATGAGCTGCTGTGTGGGGCCTGAATCCACAGAGGGGAATTCACCCCAGTGGGCTTCTGTGCCTGTTGAGACCACCCTTTGGGTCTGCCCCTTGAGGGGCTAATCATGTAGTGCTCTGTTGTGAACTGAAGCTGGCTTCCAAGTGTGTTTTTTCTGGGGTCTCTTGGGCAGGGATCCCATGCAAGCCCAGGTCAGCCACTGCCTGTGACTAGCCCAGGGTTACCTGGTAAGATCTATAAAACTATCCATGGTTGGTTGCTACCTGTGTTGGATCTGGAGGTACATGATGATGCTTGCCACCCTGTGAACCAAGGCCAGCTGCCACCAGTACCAGGCCTATGGCAGCTTAGAAAAAGACCCAGGGCATCCCGAGTCCTGATGCCACCTGCCTGTAAGGCTTAGCCACTGAAAAAGCCTCAATCACTACCCAGGTTGGGTGAGGCAAGGTCCCAGGTAGTCACCAGGTTGTTGCGAGTGTTCACCAGTTTAATGCAAATTCAGGTTTGGTGGCAGTGCTGAGCCTGGGGATCCTCACAAAAGTCCCAGAGCACACCATGGCCAGCTGCTGCTTGCCTTGGGCCCACAGACCCCTGAGAATTATACAAAAAAGATTTCAGCATAGTTAAGGGCTGGATGCCCACCACCAAAGGTGCCTCTGGCAGTGCACGAACCAAGGCTCACTGTTTGTTATTGAAAGAGCTTCCTGAGGCACATGGGGCAGGGCTAGTTGCCTGGGCACTGAAAGTGACTTCCAGAATCCTAGGTGAGTTGGGCGGAGCAGGTCCCAGGGAGTCACCAGAGTGGGACAAATGGTGTTCACAAGGTTAATGCAGATACAGTTCTGGTGTCAGTGCTGAGCCTGGGGCCACTCCACAAAATGCTCAGAGAACACCGAGGCCATCTGCTGCTCCCCTGGGACCCACAGACCCCTGAAAGTTGTCTAAGAAAGTCTGCATTGGGTTGGAGCTGGTTGCCCACCACCAAATGTGCCTCAGGCAGTGCACAAGCCACAGCTGCTGAAAGAGCATCCTGCAGTGTGCAGGGTGGGGTTGGTTCCCCAGGCATGTGAGTCGGGCATGGTGGGGTCCCAGGGTGGGGTGAGTGGCATTCACCAGGCCAATGCAGTTTCAAATTTGGCTGTGTGGGGAAGGGCTCAACATAGGGAAATGGAGACTGTCCCGTTAGCCCTTGACCTGTAGTCACACAATTCAGTCTTTCCCTTTCTGTCTCTGGTGCTTCTCGAGTTGCCATCCTTCTGCTGGAGCCCAGGGTGAGTGCCTGCAAGTGAGTAAGTCTGTGTGCGGGCCCTTTAAGAGGACATCTAGGTTTCCAGTAGCCTTCCGTCTCATCCAGACAGGCAGAATCCTCACTAATTTTCACGGCCAGATGTTGTGGAGCCTCCTCTTCCTGGCACTGGAACCCAGTGGGGTGGGGTGCCCAGTGTGGGACTGGTATCCTTCACTCCTCAGAGAGGCCCTCTGCCACTGAGATATCTATCCCTCCTGGTGCTCAACCATTACATATGGATGCGGGGCCAGCCTGTTTGGCATCTCTGCCCCTCCTACCAGTCTCGATGTGGCCTCTTGTTTATATCTTTAGTCATAGGATTCTGTTCAGCTAATCTTCAGATGATTCTCGAGGTTCATCATTCTATAATTTAGTTGTAAATGTGTTCATGGNTGGGCCCCACACCTCCCTAAAAGCAGGTTCTGTTTAAGCCACATACTCAAACTAGGCATTCTGTATCAGTCTCTGGGAGCTGTCAAATGAGGAATCACTGCTTTTCTCAAGCAAATTTTGGGTCCTTCATGTCTTTTCACTCCTATTCTCCTGCTCCACCTTCTTTGACCCCTTTTACACCTTAGAAAACTCTAGAATTAGTGGTCTTAGGTGGTGAATGAGGGTGGATAAGTAAGGACAGTTAAATTGGGAGCCTTTCTTATGACCTTGATTGGGGTTTTTGTCTGGGGCTTCGCCTTCTTCCCCTTCTTTCCCTTCTTTCCCTTTCTCCCCATCTCCCCCTTCTCCTTCTCCTTCTCCTCCTTTTTCTTTTTACAAGTTTCCTTTTTTGCCACTGAAATCCACACTAATGTTTCAATTTATAATGTGGCCTAGACCGATGTGTGGTTTTGTATTGGTTTTTTAGCTTCCCTTGAGAGAATAAATGATAATGGAGAGAATTATTTAACAAGGTCCTGGTTTCTCTGGCAACACAATAGCTAAACTTGCCTGCTTGTATGTGCACCTTTTACTGTCAGCTCATTAGATGGCATCCTTATGGGCAATATTGGTACCTGCAGAGAAAAGACACCTTGGTCTCTGAAAGGTTCGCCGAGGAGCTAAAGTCTGAGGCACATGTCCAAACCAAGCAGCTTTATTGGCCTGTCGGGGCTGAGACTAAAACTGGCATCAGCCACCTGCAGGAGTTTGCGGAGGTTTTTTTATAGGGTTAGCAAAAGGGGAAGTAACTGCAAGCATAGATGAGCAGTTATCATTGCATAATGGATATTTCTGCAGAAATGTTCTGTTGACCATTACAGTTCCTGTTTTGTCTTGTGTCTATTAGGAAACCGGTGATCAGGTGCTCGTTATTTTTACCCAAGAGGCTATCTGGCGGCTTTATCAGCGGGGTAAGGGGGTGTTGCCTCCCTTTTGGTGCCCCTGGTAGCCCCTAACAGTCTCTTGTTTGCAAGCCCTTCTCCCATCGGTCCTAGGTTAGGCCCTGTCCAGCCATGCAGGGGTGTTGGTTTATGAGTGCTGCAGCAGTGGGCATAATGAATCATTGACCCAGTGGACACAAAAGACGTACCAAGTAAAGTAACTTTAAATAACTGGCTTCAGAGGCTAGTAGCTAGGAAGTGACTTTTAGAAAGAGATACCCAAGGTTGTAAAGGTTTGTTTTTTGGGGTTTTTTTTCCATTTGCTGTAAATGATGAAAAGGTAGGGATTGCCCTCTTCATGCCTACTTCCTAATAGGTGTATCCAAAAAAATCAGTTTTTTTTCCCTCTCCCCAACCCTGTCCCCCATTAAAACAGAAACAGAGATTTATGTCCCGCTCCTCAATACAGGTAAAACTTGTACAAAAATATCCTCTATGAAAATGATTTGTAATCTGTAGACTTAATAACTGAAAGATGTCTTGAGATGTGAATCTCATCCTTTGGGTTGTGGGTTTTTTTGTTTTCTCCAAATCAATCTGATCTTTAAAGTTCAAAAAAATAAATAAATAGGGCTGGCCCAGTGGCACATTGGTTGAGTTGGCTTGGGAGCCAGCTCTGAGCAGCAGGGCCTCGGTTGGGATCCCACATGAGGGCCAGTGACACAGCACCCTCTACAACTAAGATGGTGAACAACAGCTCGACCTTGAGCTGGGTTGCTGTGAGTCGCCCACCATGAAGTAGGCTGCAGTGGGACTGGCCAGCAGCTGGAGTGAGCTTTCGTGAACTGCCGTGAGCCGCTGAGAGCGGCTGTTGGTGGCCG